TTCCCTACATTTTCCTTTCTTACTATTCTTCAAACAGTTGAACCCAACAATGTTTTGGTAAACAAGAACTTAAACTATACGCAAAGTTTAGCACAAAAACTCTAGCAAAAAATACATGCACCAGCATAACTTTTAAAGAAAGATGGATAATTAGGACTAATGACGCTTAAAAAGGATAAAATATATGATAGTCAATAAAACTTCTCATGAGAAAGATATTCAATTCTCTATTTCTTAAACAAAAAAAAAATGGTTGTTAACTCACGTTAATAACTCTAAAGGATCAATAGAATCATGATAAAGTGTGTTTTAAGAATTTCAAAATTTTGTAAAAATTGATTTTACTCTTTATGTTTTAGAAACAATGATTGTAGTCCTCATACATTTTTGGATATGTAGTAGATTTTGTCCTTAATTTTACACTTCATTTTGACCTACTAAGGATCAAATCCATTATATTTTGTTAGATAATCTGTCTAATATTATTATATAAAATATACTTATTAATATTTCTATTAGTAAAAATATCATATTAAACTTAGTTGAAATTGTATAATTTACTCAGTCTATCATTATTAAATATGTTATTAGTGACTTGAGGAAATAAAACAAGATTTATAAAAATTATAAGAACTAAAAAAGTGTTTTAAAATTGAAGAATAAAAAATAAATTTATTTTAAATTTGAAGGACTAATAATATATTTAATTTTTTTTACAATGTAGGGAATAAAACTAATTTTGATTAAATATTAAGGGATATAAAATAATTTTTTTATCTTATATTTTTTAAATCATTTTTGATGCTGAGACTAAAATAGGCGAACTAAAAAGTCAATTATTGGAGATTGAGCATTTGTTAGAATTATTGATGAAACAACAAATGAAAATTATTGTTCGAATATACTAAGAGTTGTAACTCTTGAAGACCCACAACCATTGAAGAAAAAAAAAAGCATTTTTGTTAGTATACATTAAATAGTTATTTTTTTCATGAAGAGTTGAAATCTTTTGTGAATAAAGATAACTCACTTTTTCATCCATTCCAGAAACAAGTCCCATTTATTTTATAAATAAGGAGGCTTGGGAAAAATGTTGAAGTTAATTCTTTTGAGTACATCCTTGCGAAAGTAGTTAGGTATATTTAATTATGAGACGAAGTACTAATAGAGTCTTTTTATAGAACAAACAAGTTTATTATGACTGAGGACACTTTTCACCATTTCATCAATTACAGTTTGTTCAACAATTTTGGGAGTTGCAATTTTTATTATCATAATCTACCGCATGAGAAGGAGATTAGGGAAGGATAAATCTAAAGTTCATAAAGATTTTGAGGGCTTTCTCAGGAATCAAGGACCACTTGCAATAAGAAGGTATAGTTACTCAGATATAAAAAAGATGACCAACTCTTTTGCAGAAAAATTAGGCCAAGGAGGATTTGGAAGTGTTTACAAAGGTAAGATACATGATGATCGTCTAGTTGCTGTGAAGGTGTTGAATAGCTCCAAAGGTAATGGAGAGGAGTTCATGAATGAGGTTGGAAGCATTAGTAGAACATCCCATGTTAACATTGTCACACTATTGGGGTTTTGTTTTGAAGGATCTAAGAGATCACTAGTGTATGAATTCCTACATAATGGATCTTTGGAAAAGTTCATATATGGAACCAATGTGACCAAAGTAGAGAATCAATTGAATTGTGAAACACTATACAGAATTGCGATTGGTGTTGCTCAAGGATTGGAATATTTGCACAAAGGGTGTAATACCAAAATATTCCATTTTGACATAAAGCCTCACAATATACTCTTGGATGAGAACTTTTGTCCTAAGATATCAGATTTTGGGCTTGCTAAAATTTGTCCTAGTAATGAGAGTGTGGTATCCATGATGATAGCTAGGGGAACTCCAGGATACATTGCTCCTGAGGTATTTTCAAGAAACTTTGGAAGGGTCTCTCACAAGTCAGATGTCTATAGTTTTGGAATGATGGTATTGGAAATGGTGGGAGGGAGAAAGAATATTAATGTTGAAGTTGAAAATACTAGTGAACTTTATTTTCCTTCTTGGATTTATAAGCGTGTAGAATTGAATGAGGATCTTGCACTTAGGAACATTACCAATGAAAGTGAGAGAGAGATGATGAGAAAGATGGTTATAGTAAGCTTGTGGTGCATCCAAGTTGATCAGTTAGACCGTCCAACAATGCATGCAGTGGTGGAGATGCTTGAAGGGAGAGTTGAGACCTTGCAAGTACCACCTAAACCGTTCTTGTAATCTCCTTCAAGATCATTGCGCCATTCTTGAACAAATTGTTGTAATAATTCCTTGTTAATTAGTCATTGATAATACATTATTCTAATTGTTGACAATTTCCAGAAATCTGAACAATTAAAATAACTAGGTATTGCGCAGGTTTATAAATGAATATATATTATATAGTTTGAAGTTAATGCAAATACTATTAAAAATAAAAATGTTACATTAAATATTAAAATTAAATGATTGTAAAATAGTTGAATTTATAAGTAAAAACAATTCATTTGATAAACTTAATGAAGATTTAACTCTAAAGTGGACAATATGTTACCAATGTGAAGTTGTGTGTTCAAATACCTCGCCAAAAATAACAAATACCGTATAAATCTCCTCTTGATATAAATATATATCCTCTCAAACAAAATACCCTTTTCCTTTTGATAAATATATATCTTTCTCATACAAATAATATAACAATCCAAGCAGTGGTATCATAGTCATTGATTGGGTTTGGTGACAACTAATATCCCATACATACAAGCAACAACAATGTCAAATGTCACTAGTTGGATTCGGTGACAACCAATAATCCCGTAACCCGTACATAGAAACAATAATAAAAATGCATTGCAAAGACAAATTTCGCTGAATGGGAGGTTAAGTCCTTTATTTGAAGGGAGGATTGTTAGGATATGTACCAAGTTCCACATCATTAGAATAAGAGGAAAAATAATAGTTTATAAAGCACATACATAGTCTATTAGTTAAAGACCTTTTAGATGATAATCAAAAGCAAAAATCACGAAAGTTTAATCTCAAATAGATAATATCTATACCAATGTGGAATTGTGTGTGCAAATATCCCAAATATCAGTATAAAAATAAACAAGATATAATTCTCCTTTGATATAATTGTATCCTCATCAAACAAATTGACAAAATTACCATAATAGCTTGGAGATATCTACATGCACTGGTCATGTCTATGGCAATCATTTTCTATAGGTACACATGATATATTTTTATTGAGATTTCATTTTTCAAAATGTAATAAACATATCTTCTATAACATTGTTAAATAATTTTAATTGTGTTGGTTTTCTTGAAAGGTTGTTCATCGATACCTACAATTGCTTTGCTATGATCTACACACTATCACCCTCAAGCAAAGGACTCGACCACCCCTCAAGAAGTGTTTGTTTCATAGAATAATATTGTATTCTCGAAATCATATTCCTTAGAATAATATAACACCAAATGTTATTCCTAATATTATAAGAAAAAATATTTGGTTTGTTTTAACAAACGTGAGCATAAACATTACCATTTTCATATTTCCCAAAATAGAGGAAGATAACTCGAAACAAATGCTCCCTTACATTAGTCAAATGTAACAATTTTCATAATTAATAAGACTATCATCAAATTCTATAGACTTGGAGAAAAATTGAGTTCGCAAATGTGTGAAGGAATTGTATGAAAAAATTTCTAACTCCTATCACTTATATATAACATGTTTGATGATTTGTTAATTTTTTTTTTACTCTTATGACTTGTTTTCATTATTCTGAAATAAAATCATTTTGACAATACAACACAAATAGTTTTTAACAATATTTAAAAAATGTTACTTAATTATGTATAAATGTTATTAATTTGCTTTAGCAACATATTATCAAATATTGTATATAATCCATATTACTAAAGACTTTTAATAACATTTTTATATAATTAGGCTATATTTTTCAAATGTTAGCAAAGTAGTATTTTTGTAACATTTTAATAATATTGCCAATATTTTGTTAATTTTATAAAATGTTAATTAATTTTAATTTATATATATTATTATCAATTATTATATTTTTATACCCCTTAAATTCCTGGGAGTTCTTTGAGAGAAGAATAAAGACATTCTTAATTAGTTACCATTAATTATATATAAATTATCAAATTTCATTTATCTTAAGTATAACTATATGGTTATATATACTCTTTATGAGTTATTAATCTATTCGATGTAGGATTTTAATTATGGGTAACAATTAGAGATAAGAGAAATATACTTTTTTTACTCGATGTGAGACTTTGATTTTAGAAGCAATTATAGTAACATTTTTCACAAAAAATGTTGCAAAATAACTTATGCGAAATTTTTTTACTCGATATGAGACTTTCATTTTAAAAACAATTAGGAAGAATAATATTGAAATAAAAAATGTTACTCTATCTATAATGACATTTTTAAAAAAGTGTTGCAAAATAACCTATTTTTTTAATATATAGTAACATTTTAACTAATGTAAACAAGAAAATATTGCTAAAGAATTAAAATCTAGTAGTGTGAATTGATTGTATTCTAGATTGTGTTCCATAATACATATTTACCATTTCAAATTGGGCATATTCTAGAACACATGTACTTATTTCGAAAAAAAAAAGGTAATCTAGAGCTCATCTACATTGTTTCAGAATGGGTATTCTGGAACAAAATGGAGATTCCATAATAGATGTTCCAAAACAACTATTTACTGTTTTGGAAAATAACTATTTACTGTTTTGGAATCGGTGTCACAAAAAAGATTTAGGTTAAAACTCTTATTTGGTCTCTTGTAATATTTTTTGTTTCAATTTAGTCCAACTTTAATTTTTGGTTTTAATTTGGTCCCAATAATTTAAATTATTACAATTTGGTACTTCCGTCCAAATGATTTAAGCGGAGTTAACTGTTGGCCACGTGGATGCCACGTAGATGGATGCCAAATTGCTCGAATACACCTGGAACCAGAACGACCCGTTCTAAAACCAAAACGGTCTGTTCTGGTTACACTATTGGTGAGTAAATTTGGCATCTAGAACGGGTCGTTCTGATTCTAGAACGGTCCGTTCTAACACTAGAACAGGGCATTCTGGTTTAAGAACGGGTCGTTCCAATTGCAAAATTAACACATAACATGTACATGCAGAACGGGCCGTTCTGGTTTCAGAACGGACCATTCTAGTTCCAGGTGTATTCATGGAATTTGACGTCCACCTATGCATCTACGTGGCATCCACCTGGCATCCACGTGGCCAACAGTTAACTCCGTTTAAATCATTTGGACGGAAGTCCCAAATTGCAATAATTTAAATTATTGGAGATCAAATTAAAAAAAAAAATTAAAATAGGACTAAATTGAAACAAAAAAAATATTATAAAGGACCAAATAAGGGTTTTAACCAAAGATTTAACATACCAAATTGAGTGTTCTATAACACACTTAACATTTTGAATATGTTTATGAATTGGAAAATGTTGAAGTAAGGTTACTAAAATGACGGGTGTAATAAGAAAAGATCCAAAAATAAGGTTGAAACCATCTAAAGTCCAACTTAAAACTCATTCTCCCCTTTACTACTTAGTGATTCTCATCAAGTTATTAGATAACTTTTTAACTTTGAACTAACTTGGATAATTCAAATGATTAAAATCTGTTACAAGATGATTTAGGTGTTGATATTGAAGGTGTCATGTATCTCTCTATGTTGGGCATCTTACTTTATCACGTGGAAATCCAAATAGTGTTATTGGTGGTTGAAGGGAGTCTTCTTTAAAGAAAACACCATGGACATAGTGCATAAAATGCATTAGTCAAAAGTTAAATGAAGACAACCTCGTATCAATAACATAATAAAAGGAGACCGCTATATGAGACGCAAAGCATAAAGTCCAAATTACACTACGAACAAGAGAATTTCATGCTAGTATACAATTACAACTTATTGCAACAACTATCCTTTTTGTTTTCCAATTTGATAAGTTTTCTTTAAACAAATAAAGAAATAATTAATCTTTGACAAATCATCATTATAAACTAGATGAGCAAAATTGAACCTATAACATCCATTGTAACGAATGAGATATCTATTCATTGTTTCCAAGCCACAGAGTCAATATCATCCATTGCTTGCTTGTACAATTCAAGCCTTTTAGCTAGTTGTGATCTCTTTTCCATAAGTGCAGGGTCTTCATCTAACAAGGCCCCCAATTGATCCTTCTGTATACACCACAAAATGTTGTTTTAACCTTATCACCAAGGTTGTTTAAAGGGATATTTCACTACTATAATACTATATCATTTAAAAATAATAACCTAAATAATAAATATTGCACGTAAATATTCTAACTCAAATTTGACTACTAAAACTACAAATTCCATTACTAAATAATATAATAACAAATCATTTAAAAAGAACATTCTTGACATTAACATTGTATCATAAATCATACTTATCTAGTCTCAAATCAATGGTTGGTTGATGATGATTCACTCATAAACAAGTAATGGTGATCGATCAACAACTATAGCTGGAGTTGGAACATCCAGATGAAGATGATTATCAACATCCTCAAAGAAGAAAGAAGAAGGCTCAAAGAAAAAGACGTCAACTAAAACAAGGCACCATTGAAGTTGTAGATAGAAGCAACGATATCCTTTCTAGATATGAGAATAACCAAGAAAGACACACTTAAGGGACCATGCAAAAAGTTTATCTCTTCCATGGGTGAGATCATAGACAAAACATATACATCCAAAGATATGAAGTGGGACAGGATAGAGGTCATGTTGTGGATACAAGATGATGTATGGAATTTGATTGTTGAGAATAGAGGAGGGCATACGATTAATAATTAACATGTTCTGAGAACCGCATCGCCCAAAACGCGAAGAGGAACTTTATGATGAAGGAGAAAAGTACAAGCTGTCTTAACCAAATGACGATTTTTATGCTTTACAAGACAATTTTGCTATGATATATGGGCATAAAAGATCTGATGAAGAATACCCTATGAGGAGAGAAAATATTGGAATTTGGAAGAAAAATATTCTTTAACATTATTAGTGTGAAATTTTAATTAACATCCCAAATTGAGTTGTAATTTTAGTGGAAAAACCTTTGAAAAATATGGAAAACATCAAAATAGTGTTTTATTAAGAAAACCCAAGTGCAACACGAAAAACATCAATAAACGTAATAAAATAAGAATAACCTAAAGGTGAACTAACTCGACCAGGTTCCCAAATATAATAGTGAACTAGAATAAAAGGTGATGTAACACATTGATTGGCACTAGACCTATAGGACTGGTGCACATGTTTCCCTAATTGACATGACTCACACCGG